GGGGGGGGGGGAGTACTCTTTTGTTTTGCATGCCTTGGTGGGTAGACCGTTGACGACACATCCTCGAACGGACGGAGCTCCGGTCGGGGGGATCAACCGTGTGCGGGCGTATGACATGCAGTGCGCAGACGAAGTTCTGGCCTGACGGGCAGCAGGCAATCGAGCGTGTGTGTTCACACAACACACACGTCTTATCTCGTCTTTGCCCATCTAGTGATTACAAGAACAAGAAGGCCATACCACGTGGTAACCCAGGTGCCACATTCAACACGCACACACATTCACTTTCATCTGCTGCTGCTACCCTGCTGATCTCTCTCCACGCGCACGGTAAGCTTGACCACTGGTATATGACTTGTTGTACCCCCATCGTCTCAGCCCAAGCCCAACGTATTCCCTATGACCAACCCCCATCTCCCCTTTGTAGAACACAACACACATGGTAGTACACATGTGATAGTCTCCGCGTCCAAGCTAGACTCGTGCATTCCTCGCTGATCGAACAAAAAATTCGCAGCAGCAGCGCTTGAAGCACGGAGGAAAGCATAAAACAAACACACACGCTCATCTATAATCATAAACAGCTGCAACAGCGGGGGCAAGATCGCCATGAAGACTGGCCTGTCGCAGCAGCATCTCCGGAGCAGCATCCATGTTTTTTCATGCAAACAAATGCAAACAAATCGATCGCCTGTAGCACTCTCGTATCGAGCGCGGTGGGTTCGTTCAACCCCATCTCAGGCAGACAAGATAAACACCATGAAAACCTGAAACAAGTACAGCGGACCACAGCCACCATGCGACCATCGATCGAACACTCGCTTCGTCGAGAACGAACATGCGTGCTTCCAAAGCGCAGAAATCTCTTCTTACCGTGTGCCCATCGACTATCGGTTCGGCTCAGCACACACAAAACGCACACACTCCGCCCTCCGCCCCCCCCCCCTCCCAGATAAGAACATGAGAACATGAGAACATGAGAACAAAAACGGCACAATGAAAGGAAAAAAAGCGCTGGAGCGAAGTTGCACCGCCGGTGACGGTGACGTATCCCATCTCTCCAACTGTCTCTCACG